GACAACCTGGTTTCAAGACTGCTTAGAGACCAACTCTGGTATCTGCAAAACAACGCAGCGTCGGTGGAACGCAACAGAAAGTCTAGAAAGAGACCGACCGGCAGATACGCAGGCTCAGCTGGCTTCCAGGGAAGGCGCCGAGGGGTTTCAGCCGGGAAAGGATGTCTTTCCGACAGATGTTCCTGGAGGAACTGAATATTCAAAAGCAAAAACGAACCCAGCCTCTCTCCGTGTAACAGACCACACACCAGAGGTAAAAGTGAAACCACGAAACTCCACAATAAGCCACGAGAGGAATCCTTCTGGACCATAAGCTTGGCCAAGGTTTCTTTAAAAAGGACACAGAAGGCCCAGACTGCAAAGGAAAGCAACAGATGACCTGGACTCCACCAAAGCTGAAACCTGTTGCTCTCCAATACATGGTATCAGAAGAAAAAGGCAGGGCCCAGGCCAGGCGGACACGTGTGCAACACCGACCTGCAACCATACAGACCTGTGACTGCAGCAGAACGGGGAAAACGGGGGAAAGCTGTGAACGAAACACTCATGGCAAACAGGTGCACGAAAAGACACTGGACGCCATCAGTCACGGGAAACGAGTAAGTCGGAGATAACTACTGACTGCTAGGATGGCTAAAATTAAGTCAGATCTCGCCAAGCGTTAATGAAAATATGGAGCACCCAGAAATTTCACTCTCGGCTGGTGCCGTGGCTCAATAGGCTAATCCTCCACCTTGCAGCGCCGGCACACCAGGTTCTAGTCCCGGTCGGGGCACCGGATTCTGTCCCGGTTGCTCCTCTTCCAGGCCAGCTCTCTGCTGTGGCCCGGGAGTGCAGTGGAGGATGGCCCAGGTGCTTGGGCCCTGCACCCCATGGGAGACCAGGAGAAGCACCTGGCTCCTGGCTTCGGATCAGCGCGGTGCGCCTGCCGCGGCAGCCATTGGAGGGTGAACCAACGGCAAAAAGGAGGACCTTTCTCTCTGTCTCTCTCTCTCACTGTCCACTCTGCCTGTCAAAAAATAAAAATAAAAAAAATAAAAAAATAAAGAAATTTCACTCTCTGCTGCTGGGAGTTACACCACTTTGGAAGACACACTGCAGCTTCTTAAATCGTTAACCACACCCCCAGCCTGAGAACTGGTCCTCTCACTTCTAGTCACTTACCCAAGGCAAGAGAACTTTTAGAGCCCAGACAGGCCCGCACACAAATGTTCACAGCTGTTTGATTTGTAACAGCCCGGGACTGGAGGCTGGTCACCTCCCCAGCAGGAGGCTGGTCACCTCCCCAGCAGGAGGCTGGTCACCTCCCCAGCAGCAGGAGGCTGGTCACCTCCCCAGCAGGAGGTTGGTCACCTACGCAGCAGGAGGCTGGTCACCTCCCCAGCAGGAGGCTGGTCACCTCCCCAGCAGCAGGAGGCTGGTCACCTCCCCAGCAGGAGGTTGGTCACCTCCCCAGCAGCAGGAGGCTGGTCACCTCCCCAGCAGGAGGTTGGTCACCTACGCAGCAGGAGGCTGGTCACCTCCCCAGCAGGAGGCTGGTCACCTCCCCAGCAGCAGGAGGCTGGTCACCTCCCCAGCAGGAGGTTGGTCACCTACGCAGCAGGAGGCTGGTCACCTCCCCAGCAGGAGGTTGGTCACCTACGCAGCAGGAGGCTGGTCACCTCCCCAGCAGGAGGCTGGTCACCTCCCCAGCAGGAGGTTGGTCACCTACGCAGCAGGAGGCTGGTCACCTCCCCAGCAGGAGGCTGGTCACCTCCCCAGCAGCAGGTGGATGGGTGAGGGAGCTGCTGCCTCTGTGCCATGGATACTCAGCAGCAGAAAAGGAGCACTCTGGGGCAGCGAGGCAGGGGCTGTGCTCAGCGGGCGGAAATGCCTGGGGTTGCCGGCTTCTTCCTCGCCTTCGCTGCAGAGACGGGTCCATGCAACCACTTACGTTCACAGCACCACTACATGCTAAGCCACAATCGACGGAAAATAAGGATTTTCAACAACCGTGATGAAAGCATGAAAAGATTTCACAAACTGAGAATAAACCTAACAAAGGATGAATTATGACACATGATTGAGAGAAATCAAAGAGGACCTACATACACGGAGGGAAGTCCCACATGACAGGAGGACACAATATTGTCAAACTGTCGCTTCTGTGAGTGATGGTCTCCGGGTTAAATGCAATCGCGACCACATCCCCAAGGCGGCGGGCGTGTGTTCGGCTGTGAGGATGCTAGTTGGCAGTCAGGAAGCCAGCATCCGGCAGCAGAGTGCCTGGGCTGGGACACCAGCCCTCCCCCACTCCAGTTTCCTGCCGATGTGCACCCCAGGGGGCAGCGGTGACGGCTCAAGTACTTGGGGCGCCCCACCACATGGGACACTGGGATGGAGCTCCTGACTCCTGACTTTAACCTGGCCCAGTCTTAGCCATTGTGGGCTTTGGGAGAGGGAACCACGATCTCCCTCTCTCTCTCTGCCTCTCAAATAAATGAAATAAATCAATGAATTTTTTCTTCAAAAACACAAACAAAACCTCAATGGCTTTTTAGTGGAAATTGAGAAAGAACTGTTAACATTTATATGGAAATGCAAAAGATGTAGGTTAGCCAGAACAGTCTTAAAGAATGAGACAAACTTGGTGGAATGATGTCACCGGCCTTCAAGACTTAGTAAAAAAAACTACAGAGGGTAAGATGGCGTGGAATTGGTACCAGGATAAACAAAGTCACCGTGGAGCGAAGCAGAGGAGCCAGAGGAAGAATACACACGTGTGGCTGAACAGCAGTGCCGTGGCGATGCGACCGAGAAAGGGCGCTTTGCTCCAGAAAGTGCTGCCACAGCAACCTCACGTCCACATTTTGAAAAAGAGGAAGATGATCACCCTCTTCCCCACAGCATATCTGAGAGTAAATTCTAGATGGATAGCAGAACTAAACGTGAAAGGGAAACAGTGTAACTTTTATAAGAGTCAAAGGAGAAACTGTGCCTGCCTTTGAATAAGCAAAGATTTCTTATTTATTTATTTATTTGAAAGGCGGAGTGAGAGAGAGAGAGAGACAGACAGACAGACAGACAGAGAGGTCTTCCATCTGCTGGTTCACTCCCCAAATGGCCACAATGACCAGGGCTAGGCCAAGCTAAAGGCAGGAGCCAGGAGCTTCTTCCAGGTGTCCCACGTGGGTGCAGGGGCCCAAGCACTTGGGCCATCTTCTGCTGTTTTCCAGATACTTCAGTAGGGAGCTGGATTGGAAACAGAGAAGCCAGGACTCCAGCAGGCACTGATATGAGATTCTGATGTTGCAGGCAGTGGCTTAATCTGCTGTGCCACAACACCAGCCCCACAAGGTTTCTTTAACTGAAAACAAAGACACAAAACTTAAAAAAAAAATTAACAAATTGCATTGCATTAAATTAATTAAAACACTGAAAAAGAAAGCCATATGGTGGGAAAAGATATTTACAACTCTTTTATCTTACAAGAGTCACATCCAGAATTCAGAAAGCATTCCTACAAAAACTAGATTGAAAAACAAACCATGTGATGAGGAAATGGGCCAGCAAGCTGACACAGCAGTTCACAGAGTGGGACTGCTGACCGTCAGAAGACACACGGAATGAGCCGGACATCGCTGCTTATGGAGTCAAAGACATTGCGTCAGTCAAAGACAATCCACAGACCATCAGCTCTGCTGACCTGTGTGAGCAGGCCAGGGTCACCCTCACAGACATGGGGACACGGCTACTGGGTGCTCACTGGGTGTCAGACGCTGTGCCAAGCATTCAGCATGGATAATACGCAAGGCAGCCCTGAAGAAGGTGCTACTGCTGTCCCCATTTCAGAGGTTTGCAGGCAAACTCCCACACGGGGCTGTGTGACCACTGCACACCACTCCCTCCCACCCTGGGGAGGAGAGAGTCAGACTCCAGGCAAGCAATTACTGTGTCTGTCTGTCTGTCTGTCTTCCGGGCAGCAGGGACCTGCACGGTGCAGTCTGAGGAGCCCCGTCACTGCCTCCCCAGGCCCACATGGATCGGGCACACAGATGCCTTTACCCAAGGTAAGGACAGGCCTGGCAGCAGGCTCTGCAGCGGGGTCCCAGTGTGCGGAGGGGTGAGGGGACGATCATTAACTGCCTGTGGGACCCTCTTCCCTCCCTACTGGCTCTGTCTGTGGATTCCCCCATGGTGCCAGAGGCCTCAGGGGGCCTGCAGAAGTCAGTCCCCCAACACTCTGCAAGAGTAGAGCCCCCTCCCCTGCTGGCCTGTCTCCCGCCCTCTGTGGAACTCACTACTCACTAACAAGACCCCGTGGGGGAGGGACAATCTCTTCAAGCAGAGGTCCCAGACAAACGGAACACCCGCAGGCAAAAGGGACCTCATCAGACACCGTCCACAAAAACTAACTCAAAGTGCATCGCAGACCAAACCTGAGAGCGGGTACACAAAGGTCTTGGGGTAGAAAACACGGCAGAAAACTCCAGTCCTGCTAATAGTTCCCCAGATCCGACACCCAAAGCACCGGCAGCCAAGCAAAAGCAGGGTGAGACCATGTCAAACGCCAGAGTCCCTGCACTGCAAAGCAAACAATCAACAAAATGAAAAGGCGACCCTTTTCATTCATGGAGTGGGCGGATCCGTTTGCAAACCCTCTGCTGAGGGGTTATGCCCAATAAATACAGGAAACCCCTACGGCAGAATAGCAAACACACCCAAACCTAGGACAGGCAAAGGAGCTGAACGAGCAGCTCTCTGGAGGAGACCAACACAAGGCCAACAGGTGCAGGCAGATGTGCTCAGCATTGCCAACCCTCAGGGAGAAGCCACCAGAACCACACAGAGACATCACCTCACGCCAGTTAAGACAGCCGTTATTACAAGACGCATAAAATGCACATGCGGTCGGTGCACAGCCATCATGGAAGCCAACAGGGAGATCCCTCCAACCTAGAGCCACCATACGATCCAGCAACCCTGCAAAGGAATTGAAACCAGGATCTCAAAAAAGATACCTGCACTCCGTGTTCGTAGCAGCACTGCCCAAATGTCCCCCGACGTCAGCTGCCCACGCGGTGGAGTACTGTACAGTCTGAAAAAGGAAGGGAACCCTGGCGTTGGCGACTACACAGACAATTCCCAGGGACGCTGTGCTAATGGGAACAGCCAGCTGCACCTGCTGCATGAAGAGACCTCGCAGACGAGGACTCTAACCACGCTCAGGGAAGCAGACAGGAAGAGCGGTACTAAGGCAAGCAGGGGTGGGAGCCCACAGGCACGTTTCAGTCACGCAAAGTGCGTAAGTCCTGGAGCCCCACGCCTGTGGTTACGACCCGGGTTGCATGCCGGGAATTCGCCAGGAGGGGAGAGCTCCAGTTAGGTGTTCATGTCGACAATAAAGGAGGTGGGAGGAAACTGTAACAGACCACAGCAGCTATAGGCTCAGACTGTGCAGCTGACACGCCCGGGGACTTGTACTTGGGACTGGGGCAGTCTACAGCCCTCATCCACAGCGCTGGCCTGGGCGCAGGCATCATTAAGATTTAACCAGGGTTGGATTTCACCAGCCTTGCCCTGAGTTCCAAGACCCAGTCCAGAGCCCACGTTCCTGCCCAACCCCCAGTGGCTGAGCTCTTCCTCCTGCTGTCAGCCCACAGGCTGGGGAGGGCTGGTGAAGGCGGACCCTCGCGGGCCAAGCTGACACTGCGGCAGGTGGCACCTGGTGTCACAGTCACCAGCCCTGAGGGTCTGGGGGTGCACACCGGGTGCACAGGAGGCCGGCCCGCCATGGCGCAGGGCTCCACCAGACACCGGGCTACATCTGCAGGCTGTATCTGTGAGCACGGCCAGGGACGGGCACCTCAGGCTTTACCTGGAGCCGGGTCCCTGAGCTTCACCGAGGCAGAGTCCTGCACAGTCGGCCCTGGGGGCCTGCACGGGGGTGGGTGTCCTGGGCGCCGGCAGCGGGGCCCCGTGCGGCACCGGCTTTGACAGCGGCGGGCCGGTCTGGGTTCAGGTCCAGGGTTCGGCTTCATGCCCGGGGCCTCTCGCAGGCCGGAGGCGCCTCAGCACCGGAAGCTGGGCCAGGAGAGGACAGGTCGGGGACGCGTCCCTTCCGGCCTTCTTCTTACACGATCACCCGGCGCCGAGGCCTGTCTGCCGGCGCCGTGGGCTCTCGGGAAGCCGGCCTGGCGTGCGAGCGGCCGTGCAGACCGCAGCCTGTGAGGCGAGCCTGCCCGTGCGTGCTGCAGACTCTTCCTCCAATGCCATCTTTCTTCAGTGTCCGCGTCGTGCACCTGAAGCAGGTGGATGTATGATAATTCGATATAATCTAAAACAGATAAAGGACATATTAGGAAATACTCCAGAGGGTGTATGGGTATGGTTAAAAAAAAAAAGAAGAAAAAAGAAAAGACAAAAACAAAACAGAACAAAAACCCGGGGTGATACATCGGCAATGTTTGGGGAACACCTGTTCAGATCAGCAATTCTCAGAACCCCGGGAAGTGAAGGCTGTTTTCTCCCCTTACACGGGGTTCTGCCTGCAAGAGGGAGACGATCCATCCGAGAGCCAAGTCTGCTCTCAACGTGTTTTTACTTTCAACTGACGCGTGGCAGCAGTTGTGCACGACTATGGGGCGCAGTGTAACCCCTCAATACCTGTACACAGGTGTCACGATTACAGTACTTGGCTCATTTGTCCCCTGAGACCCTGGTCACGTCTCCGTGTCGGAAACATTCAAAATCCTCTCCATCAGCTCTTCTGCAAAACCCAGTTAATCATTGCCAACACAGCTGAGTGCTGTGAAATCATCAGGGCCGTTCTGCCTGCCCAGCCCACCCTCTCTGCATCAGCCCCCACTCAGGCCCCGCCCAGCCCCCCCTCCAGGCCCTGTCCAGGCCCCACCCAGGCCCCGCCCACACCCTGCCCAGGTTCTCTTAACAACTACTTCTTGTGAGACCATCTTTTCAGCTTCCCCAGGTAAGTGAGGATGTGGGGTATTTGTCTTCCTATGCCTGAGAAGTAGGTCTTGCGCCTGAGTCAAGTTCTCTTTTCTAATTAAAAAAAAAAAAAAAAAAAAACATTTGAAAGGCAGAGCCAGAGAGAGAAACAGAGAGAAAGATCTTCCACCTCCTGGGTCACTCCTCAAATGCCCACCACAGCCAAGGACTGAAACTTGAGCCATCACCTGCTGTCTCCCAAGGTGTGCATTTGCAGGAAGCTGGAAACAGAAGTGGGGTCAGGACCTGAGCCCAGATATTTCAACAGGGGATGTGGGAGTCCACGTGGCATCTTAACCGCCGCCCCACTGCCCCCTCTGTGCTAGTCGAGCTCTGAGCCAGAACTCAGCTAAGCTGCTCCTTCACCCCGACCCACAGACACCAGAAGCTAATGCACATTTGTTGGTTTAGCTATTAAGTTTTGGGGGTGATTTGGCACATGGCAAGAGACTGGTGACTCCTCGGCTAGTTCCTGCCAATGGAGTGTGACCAGAGAAGTCTGAGCCACTTCCAAGGCCCCAAGGCTAAGCTCCAGTCTCTCATGGTCACAGCAGCATTATTTACAGGAGCAAGAAGCTGGGTGCCACCCGAGAGTCCATCGATGGACGAGTGGAGAAACACAGCGTGGTCCATCCACACCAGGGATGGAGCTTACAGAGGGCAGAGACGCTGACAGCCCGGGGGACCTGGAGAAGGAACATTGCAGGGGCAGGCGAGGTGGTCACAGAGCAGCCAACGCTGGATGGCTCCACTTGTATGAGGTGCAAAGAGCAGACAGACGCGCGGACAGCCAGGAGAACTGGCTGCCAGGGCCTGCAGGGGCAGGGAGGGAGGACTGGCGTTTCACTGGGGCGTGGCTCCCACTCAGGGGGATGGGTAAGCTCTGGAGGAGGAGGGCAATGCTGGGTTCACAACCATGTGAACTTAACACCTCCGAACCACATACCTGGATGAGGTTAAAGCTATAGCACACACACATACACACACGCACAAAGCTCACTCCTCTCCACCCAGCCAAGCTGCCGCTGAGAGCTGAGTCAAATCGGTTTACTCTTTGTGGGGCAGAGCCTTGCTGTGAACCAAAGGAGCGAAACACCTGTTCGGCATCGAGGCCCAGCAGTACGGAACCGGGGCCCAAAGCAAAGGGTCGCTCAGTTCGTTTCTCCTGCACGCCGTCTGCTGTCCCAATGACTCTGGTCCGCACAGTCACCAGGGAGCCAGGCTCCTCTCTCGCACTCTGCCATCCTCGGGTGTTTCCCTCGTCCTTGTGCCCCAAGATGCCTTGGAACTACATCCAGGCTAAGCAGCAGGGCAGAGAGACAGGGGAAGAAGAGGCCCGCTTTCTCCTTCTAGGACTCCATGTTGGGTCTCTGTCCTGGAAGTGCCTGGTGGGCGTATCATCGGTCCCCTGCATCCTCGGCAGGATGCCAGCTGTCTTCTGTCATTCCCAGCAGCCTCAGGGATTCCCAACTGAGCTCTTGGCAGCCCCATGTGTGACAGACCCCAGCAAGGGGAGCCCCTGGATCCCTCCCCTCCAAGGAAGTCCATCTGTCAAACATGTGCACAAAGTTTGGCACAGGTGAGAATAAGCCTCAGCTGTGTTAAGGCACTGAGCCTGCAGGTGCTGTCTGTCACACCTGCCAGCAGTACCTTAACATAGTCTCATGCCTGGAACTTGGGAGGCCAGGTGACAGAGAAGGGTGAGTGACCGGGCACAGGGAAGATGGCTTTGGTGCTAACAGACTCCAGTTCAAAGTCTTTAAACCCACCCCACAACCACGTGGACTCTTCCACCTCTGGCAGGCGTGGTTTCCTTAAATAGAAACTGGAGATCACGGATTACAAGGCACTCTGTCTGCAGGGTGGACTCAGCGAGGGAGTCCACAAGAGAAAGATCTGCTTGGGACAGTGACAGACCTGTACCTTTGCCATTCTCCAAGGAGGAGGACAGATGGGCAGTTAGAAGTGGGCACAGCATATCAGAACACACAGCTTGAGGGGAAGCAAACGGCCCACACCAGAGGTGTCCAGTCTCCAAGTCATGGCTAAATGCCGAGTCCATCAGATCTGGACTTGGCGCTGTCACAGATGAATGCCCTGTTGTCATCAGAGTTGGACTTGGTGCTGCCACAGATGAATGCCCAGTGGCCAGGAGACCTGGACTCTGCACTGTCATGGCCGAATGCCCAGAGTCTACCAGACCTGGACTTGGCACTGTCTTCCATCTAACACCTGATCCAGCCAGGGCCTTAGTTGGTTGGCATCTGGGTTCTCAAGTGGGCTTTGCAGCATGAACTCGCCTTGCTTCCAATCCAGCTCTCCACTGATGCACCCGGGAGGGCAGTGGATAACGGTCTGGGTGCTTGGGCCCTGCCACCCATGTGGGAGACCTAGGTGGAGTTCTGGACTCCTAGCTTTGGCCTAGCCCAGACTTCGCTTCTGCAGTCATTTGGGGAGTGAACCAGCAGATGGAAGACCTCTCTCTGTCTCTCCTTCTCTGTCACTCTGCTTTTCAAATAAAGAAATCTTAAAAAAGAAATAGAGAGGAAGACGAGACCAGCACTGCGTGTGCACAAGAAAAGACCAAGACACAGCAAGAAGATGGCCTTTTGGAAGCCAAGGAGAGGCCTCGGCAGATACCAGCCCTGCCAGCGCCCTGATCCTGGACGTGCAGTCTCCGGAAATGTGAGAAAATAAATCTGTAGCTTGAGGCTCAGTGCATCCTCCTGTGACTCGGGTGACATTTTCCATCAGTGGACACGGAGCTGGCACCACTGCAGGACAGGGCAGTGCACTGAGATCTGAGCCGGTCGCTCAGGAGTGAGGTGACACACACACACCTGCCGTTTGCCGCACACGTCACAGAAGTGCCCCTGCTGCTCCACACGCTGTCCTCTTCTCTGCCTGGCCTCTTGGGCGCGAGCACCTTTGACCCTGCTGTGGGCACCAGTGTGGTCACCAGACCCTCCTGCATGGCCGTCCCCACACTTCTCTACACCAACACTGGCAGTCAGGATTCAGTGAGGGGGCTGGTGCTGTGGCGAAGCCGGTTAAAGTCCCAGAATCCCATATGGGCGCCGGTTTGAGTCCCGGCTGCTCCTCTTCCGATGCAGCTCTCTGCCGTGGCCTGGGAAAGCAGTAGAAGATGGCCCAAGAGCTTGGGCCCCTGCACCCGCATGGAAGAACCAGAAGAAGCTCCTGGCTCCTGGCTTCGGATTGGCACAGCTCTGGGAGTAGCAGTCATCTGGGGAGTGAGTCAGAGGATGGAAGACCTCTCTTTCTCTCTCTGGCTCTACCTCACTCTGTAACTCTGTCTTTCAAATAAATAAAATAAATCTTTTTTAAAAAAAAAAAAGATTCAGTGAGAGGAGGCCAGCATTGTGGTACAGCAGGTAAAGCCACCGCCTGTGATGCGGCATCCCATATGGGCACCGTTCAAGTCTTTGCTGCTCCACTTCCTACCCAGCTCCCTGTTAGTGCCTGGGAAAGTAGCAGAGGCTGGTCCAGGTGCCTGGGCCCCTGCACCCACGTG